CCTACAATTAGCATTTCTCCATCTTCAGAAACATGGTTGAATGATCCCTTTTTGGAGATCTAGCAACCTTCCCTACTCATTCAGCAAATAGTTAGTGAGTTTCAATCACTTTTTAGGCACATTATTGAATGTTGGGATTATAATGGAGAACTATGAAATAGAACCCCTTCCTTGTAGGGCTAGGGATCTGGCTGGAGAAGCAGAAATTAAACAAGTAAACAAATAAGCAAAGAATGGTTTAAAATAGTGATCAGAGCTGCACTCATGAAGTGGTGGTGAGAATAGTAAAGGGAGGGGACTCCCTACTTAGATTAAGCGGTGGCTGATGACATGTAAAGCCAGGCCAGGGGAGGGTGTGAGAGGCAGAAATCTAAAATGGCTCAAGTCTGCACCCCCAGACCACAAGTCCTGTTTAATCCCTTTCCCTTGGCCTGATAGACTTGGTGTTTGCGTCCCCCAAAATCCATGTTGAAGCCCCAACCCCCAATGTGATGGTATTAGGAGATGGGGGCTTTGGAAGGTCACTAGGTTCAGATGAAGTCTTAACCTTAAAGGTAGGGTCCTCATGCTGGGATGGAATTCGTGCCCTTATAATAAAAGACCTGAGCTTTCTTTCCCTCTCTCTCTTCTCTCCCCCCACCCCTACCCACACCCTCTCTGCCATGTGAGAACACAGTGGCCTTCTGCAAGAGGGCTCTCACCAGGAATTGAATTGATTAACACCCAGAATTCCAACCTCTAGAACATGTTTTTAAGCCACCCAAACATAGACACAGAGGATCCAGAAGGCTACAAAATATAATTTAAAGTGAAAAAATAAACACTTTTTGCACTAGTGTAAAATCATTTTGACACTTAAATTTCTCTACACTCGGCTGAAAGGGAATCAGTGTTATAATCAAAATTTGCTTTCATAGAAATGGTTTTAATGTGAACAATCCTTGCCTTTATTTAAAAATTATTTAGACTGCCACTCTGTATGAAAAAATTAGAAACGTATTCAATAATAAAAAATTTATTAAGTAACAGTAGCAGTGGTTATCTTTGGTATTGAAATTATAAATAATTTTAATTTTTGCTATACATTTCTTCACAAACTATAGGTAAAAAATAATACTATCATAATTATAAGGAAAAGCAAATATTCTTTGCAAAAATGACCCATTTATAGGTCATTGGTTTATTTTTTGTTTTTTGTTTCCAGATACAGTTGACATACAAAATTATATTACTTGCAGGTGTACAACATAGTGATTCGACCTTTATATAACTTAGGAAGTGATCCTCTGATGATTCTAGTATCCATCTGACACCATACATAGTTATTATAATACTAGAAGCCCGTTGCATGGGATTCGTGCACTGGTGGGGGAGTAGCCTGCCAACCCGCTGTGGGAGCACTGCTCATCCTGGTCAGTCCAGTGGCACTCCCACTGTGGGAGCGCACTGACCACCAGGGGGCAGCTCCTGCATTGAGCGCCTGCCCCCTGGTGGTCAGTGTGCATCATAGCAACTGGTCAACTGGTCGTTCTGGTCATTCCACCGTTCGGTCACTGGGCTTTTATTATATAGGATTATTGACTATATTCCCTATGCTGTACTTTACATCCCCACAACTATTTTATAACTGCCAATTTGTGCTTCTTAATCCCTTCACCTTTTTTACTCATCCTCCAAACCCCCTCCCATCTAGCAACTATCAATTTGTTCTCTTTATCTATGAGTTTCTTTGTTTTGCTTGTTTGTTTATTTCATTTTTTAGATTCTACACGTAAGTGAAATTATATGATATTTACCTTTCTCTGCCTGATTTATTTCACTTAGCATAATACACTCTTGGTCCATCCATGTTGTCACAAATGGCAAGATTTCATTCTTTTTTTTTTATAGCTGGTTAATATTTCATTATAATATGTACTAAACGTTCTTTATCCATTTGTCTATTGATGGACAGTTAGGTTGCTTGCACATCTTGGCTATTGTAAATAATGCTGCAATGAACATAGGGGCGGTTTCTTAATCTTACCTGATCCTTCTCTTTTTCATGTTCTTGATGAAGAGCTTGAACTCGAGCTGTCCACTTGTTTTCCTAGGAAACAGTAAGCCAAGAGTAATGTATGTGCAATTGCAACAATGAAATCTATTCAAAATGGAAGCTTCCTTTTTAGTGGGTACCTGGGAAGCCCAACTATTTGGTAAAATGTTAGCAGGCATTTTTAGAACATACACAGTCAAAATGGTTAAACACATCTGTACCTTTTTAATTTATTTTTTAATTACTGACAGTATTACAGAAGTCCCCCATTTGCTCCCCCGCCCCTGGCTCCTCTCCACCCAGCCCCTGCCCACCCCCATTCGAAGGCAGGTATCAGCAAACATTTTCTGTGAAGGAATTAATAGTAAATACAGGCATGGGAAAAGTAAGTTTACAGTACATTCATTTCAGTTAATAAAGCTATTGTAATAATCATAATCTGCATGTCTTTTTCCATTCAAACAACTGTAGGCCTACTTTTGCCCATCCTTGTATTTTAGGCTCTTGGAGCCAGATGACTGGGTCACAACTTCTAGTGACAACAGAACAGCCATAGATAAAAACCTAAATGAATGGGTATGGCTGTGTTCCAATGAAATTTTGTTTTAAAATATATTGGTGCTAATTGGCCAACCTAAGAAACTAAAAGGAGCCCTAACCAGTTTGGCTCAGTGGATAGAGCGTCAGCTTGCGGACTGAAGGGTCCCAGACTCGATTCCAGTCAAGGGCATGTACCTTGGTTGAGGGCACATCCCCAGTAGGGGGTGTGCAAGAGGCAGCTGAATCAATGTTGCTCTCATCGATGTTTCTAACTCTCTATCCCTTGCCCTCTCCCTTCCCCTCTGTAAAAAATCAATAAAATCTATTTTTAAAAAAGAAAGAAACTAAAAGGAAACACTAAGTTTTCTAAGTCCATGGGTTCTGAATTGACAACACAGCTCATAGGAAGGAAACATTAGATATTTAGGTGGGACCTTATGATCAGCCTGCTGGGAGCAACTGTCAACACCTGGTCCCCTACCACGTACCAGACACCTCGCTTGGCAGGATAGAGAGGAAGGCCCTTCCCTGTATAGGAGGGAGGTGGGCCTAACGATAGAGTTCCCACATAATGCGCATGTGACCAGGTCCTGCTGGTGGAACTACTCCAGGAGAACTCTCTGAACTCGAAAGCCACAAGAGCACAAGCAGAAACCAGCATGCCACGGGGACCCATGGCTGTTTGGTGCCGCTGGGAGCGTCACGGGAAAGCCAAGAAAGGTGGCAGATGACGCTGGGTCCAGATCCTCAGGGACTTGGAGTGCTGGCTAAAGGGTTCGAGGCTGTGTTCTGTGAAAAATAGGGAGTCACTGAAAAATTCTAGGCGGGACAGTGACATGGTCAGCCTGGCTGTAACGTGGACGGTAGATTTGTGGGAGGGAAGCAAGATGTGAGAGGCAAAGCAAGCTGCAGTGACTGCTGTTCATATTTCAAAAACATGCTTATTTTTTAAATGATGTATTACTACTTTTTAAAAATATGTTTATTGTTGAAAGTATTACAGATGTCCCCTTTGTTTGTTTTTTTCCCCCCATTGACCCCCTCCACCTCATACCCACCCCTCCCAGGCCTTCACCACTTTATTATCTGTGTCCATGGGCTATGCATATATGCATTAAAGTTCCTTGGTTAGTCACTCCCACTCCCCTCACCCCCGCTTTCTCTCTGAAATTAGTTAGAAGCTTCTATGGTATTATTGCTTTTTAAAATAATCCTGAAGTTGTAAACTTTAATCTCTATTTGTTTCCTGGTAATACACAATGTCCCCCTAAACCAGTATGACCAAATAACCAGTGTGAACATTGTGCTGATTATGGAGGTTCGCTTCCAAGTGACTGCAATTATCCTATATAATAAAGAGCTAATATGCTAATTAGACCGAACAGCAGAATGACTGTCTGGATGTCTGGACAAAGCCAGGGCTGCAAGGGCTGGCCGGGGGTGTGAGGGCCGGCCAAGCCTCTTGCACGAATTTCGTGCATCAGGCCTCTAGTCTATATAATAAAAGCCTAAGCAACCATCACAGTGGAACTACCAGAACAACCAGTTGCTATGATGTGCACTGACCACCAGGGGGCAGATGCTCAATGCAGGAGCTGCCCCCTGGTGGTCAGCGTGCTCCCACAGGGGGAGCGCCACTCAGCCAGAAGCCAGGCTCATGGCTGTTGAGTGCAGCGGTGGTGGCGGGAGCCTCTCCCACCTCTCTGGCAGCGCTAAGGAGCAGCGAACTGAGCAATAAGGAGCAGTGAGCAGGCAGCAAGTAAGGAGTGAGGGGTCCCAGACTACGAGAGAGCTCAGGCCAGGCTGAGGGACCCCCCTTCCAATGCACAAACTTCGTGCACCGGGCCTCTAGTGTTTGATAAATGTAAAAGGTCATCAGTTCACCAATGCAGTTTGTGTATTTTAGCTCTAAAAATAAAGTTAGTGCTTCCATATGCCTTTCCATGCCTTTTGAAACTGAGACCTACATCTGAATAGACACTGAGATAATGTTAACCAATTCAAATTAGATATTATTTTAAGGAAAAATGAAGGAATTTTGCCAACTGCTTTGTATCCACATCTGTTAGTCAATCAACAAGCAGCTAGTGAACACCTATTCTATATTGCGCATGTATTAGAAGACAAGAAAATAGAATTAGCTGCCTTTATGGTCACTGAAAGACACAAATACTTTTTCTGTAGAAGATGCTTGCTGCGAGTTACTTCACTAAGAAAAGTTAGGCCTCAGCCACAGTCATTGCCCGCTTTTACATACCTGACTATCAAGAAATTGCATCACATTTTGGAAATCCTGGGCATATTGAGGGCGCTCTTCCTTAAACTCGTGGGCATCTCTTAACGTGCCTAAGTTGGACTTGATCTGCATGTTAGACTTCTGGATTTCTGACAATTGCTATAAAATGAAATACAAAAATCACTGATAGAAATGTTTATATTTTTATAAGACTGAAACAGAAAATCAAGTGGGGGAGTATGTACCCATGTTTTAAATCTGACTATCCTTTTGGATGCTTGTTGTAATTCTCTTACTTCTCCTTCCCAGTGGTTTTCTTCTTTTGTTTCTTCCAACAAAGGAACATGCACAGGATTAAAAAGGGAAAGGAAAACCTAACTTTCTAGTCTTCGGCAATGTGTCTGAAAATTTTTGATTGGCATGTAACAGTTGCCAGAAACAGAGGAACTGGACGCAGCTAGTTCTCAAGATACTAGTAATTTGGTGACGAGGCCAGCTTCATCCAGGACCCCATCTGTGGATCCATTAGGGACATAACATTTTAATTTTACCCTTTGCTTGTATGTTAGTCCCAAAATTACTCGCAGGAAGCACAGAAGGTAATCCTGTATGTTAACTTCAAAAACAAATAGTTCCCTGCTATTTTAGTCTGAGCTGCATATAGAGGCTTCTTTGCAAAGAGTGAACAGTATGAAATAAGGGGAGATTACTTTTCAATGGAGAAGTCTGACAAACACAGCCTCAGCCAGGTGGTCAAGGTCAACATCAACACCATAAATCATTTAGATTGTGTATACCCTTGATGTGATATAATGAAAATTGCACTTTAACTCTGAGGTCTTCTTCCCCAGACCCTGTAAGCCCAGCCTGACCCTGAGAAGAATATCAAATCAACTCTAATAGAGGGGCATCCTACAATATACATCGTCCAGGTCATCAGAAACAAACCTGACTGTCACAGACAGGAGGACCCTAAGCAGACATGACGACTAGATGTACTGTGGTGCCCTGACTGGTTTGGCTCAGTGGATAGAGCGTTGGCCTGCAGACTGAAGGGTCCCAGGTTCGATTCCGGTCAAGGGCATGTACCTTGGTTGCGGGCACATCCCTAGTAGGGAGTGTGCAGGAGGCAGCTGATCGACGTTTCTCTCTCATCGATGTTTCTAACTCTCTATCCCTCTCCATTCCTCTCTGTAAAGAAAAAAATCAATAAAATATATTTTAAAAAAATAAAAATAAATGTAGTGTGGTGTCTAGATAAGATCCTCAAGCAGAGAAAGGACGTTAGGTAAAAGTCAAAGAAATCGGAAAGAAGTATGAACTTTAATACAAGGGCATCAATATTGGTTCATTAATTGTAACAAATCCACCAATTTAAGATGTCAGGATATTGAAAAATGCACAAGGTAGGAGAGGGGGGCTTTTATAGAAATTTCTGAACTATCTGCTCAATTTTTCTGTAAACCGAGCTCTATGCTAAAAAAATGCCCTATTTTTAATCATTTAAAATCTGTTGACAGCCAAAAAGGGCAAACATCACAAATTCCATCAACTGATGCATACACAAATAAAATATGGTATATCCATACAATGGAATATCATTCAGCAATAAAATATAAAAATACTGATCAATATTAAAACATGGATGAATTTTAAAAACATTATCCCAGTGAAAGATGCCACTCACAAAAGGTCACATATTGTAATGATTCAATTTATATGAAGTGTCCAGAATAGGCAGATCCATGGGGACAGAAAGTAGATCCGTGGTTGCCACGGGTTGGGGGGAGGGGTGGTATGGGAAGAGTGCCAATGGGTTACAAGGTTTCTTCTTAGGGTAATAAAATGTTCTATAATGACCATGATGATGGTTGCATAAGTATGTGAACACTAAAAACCACTGAACTGTATACTTTAAGTGGGTGAACTGTATGGTATGTGAACTATATCTCAATAAAGCGTTTTGTTTTTTAAGCTGTGGGGAAAAGTCCTATTCCACAATTACCTTAGGGGCAGGGAACAGGGGACAGGCCCATGGAGGGAATCTCAGGCAAAATAATGGTAATTTGCAGTGGCTTTCATGGAGAAGACTTAAACTGGTTAGTATCAAAAGCCACTCCTGTGAGTAATATGGTGCCCTTTTGAGAAGGAGCCACAGATATGTGTTTTGGAGAGGGCCCTGGGTGGTAGAGGAAATTATGGGTAGAGACAGAACTACTGCCTGTAGGTGCTGATGCTTAGGAAGAAGAGCAGCAACCAAGGAAAGGTAATATGGGGCTAACTGAACCCACAGGAAGTTTCCTGAAGGAATCCCTTCAGAAAGGACACAGAGCACCATCCGATATTATTTCCCCCCAACTTTTTTTGAGATTACAACTTTGAAAGGTGGAAGAACAGTACCATAAACATCCATTTCACCTCCACCAATTGTTACTCTTCTGCCTATAAAGGTATGACAGCGGCTGTCATACTCTTCCTATAAAGAGCCAGATAGCAAACATGTCTGGTTTTGCTAGACGCATAGGGTCTTGGTCATGGCCACTCAACTCTACGGGCCCAGCACAAGAGCACCATAGACAAAGTGTAAAGGAATGAGCATGGTTGTGTTCTCAAAAAATGTAATTGTGGCCGAAACCGGTTTGGCTCAGTGGATAGAGTGTCGGCCTGCGACTGAAAGGTCCCAGGTTCGATTCCGGTCAAGGGCATGTACCTTGGTTGCGGGCACATCCCCAATGGGAGATGTGCAGGAGGCGGCTGATCGATGTTTCTCTCTCATCGATGTTTCTAACTCTCTATCTCTCTCCCTTCCTCTCTGTAAAAAATCAATAAAATATATTTTAAAAAATGTAATTGTGGACACTGAAATGGGAACTTTATATAATTTCCCTATGTCATGAAATATTCTTCTTTTGACTTTTTCAACCATTTAAAAATGTAAAAACCTTTGTGAGCTCAAGAACCATACAAAAACAGGGGTGGGTCAGATCTAGTTCACAGGTGGTTTGCCTACCCTTATGTGAGAGTTCAGGGTGCATTTTAGAGAAGGATCTTAGCAGTATCCCCCAAATATCCCTCTGTTTTAGTTTATACAATGTGTTGGCCCCTAGAGGGAGCTCAGAGATCCTCCCTTGTGCCCCTTGTTTCTTTTTCCCTAAGGATCACTTAGCACTGAGCTGTCCAGCAAGCTCAGATTATTCTTAGCTGGATGACAGAGGCCACCATGTGTAGAAGATGCTCACAGGAGATGAAGGTCCCAGCCCAGCGAGGCATGTCTCTGTCATCTATGCATGTAACCAGGGCAAGGCCACTCCCACAGGGGAGAGGGGCTCATGTAGCCACATTCTGCCCGCTCCAGACCAGCCAGGCCTGGCAAAGGTTCTCCCTCTGTCTTTCTGAATTGGCTTCCTTTCCCTCCCACATTGGTGATGTGTGTCGGCCTTTCCTGGAAAGTTCCAAAACTCAGGGAATGGCTTATGGTTTCAGCTTTTGTAAACTTAACTGGCTAACGAAAGAGGGACCCTGTTCTATCATCCAATCAAATGAACAAAGCTCCTACTTTTCTGACTTGCTATGTCTTCTGTATGTTTTGAGCTCCCTCAAGACTCTCGGGGACGAGGGGTGCCTGGGTCTGGGCACAATTAAGGATCTTTTGGATCGGGTAGTCATAATGCCGTGCTGACGCCACCTTTCAAGGCAACAATTCTACCAGTACTATAAGGACTTCTCAGGTTAATACTTACATATTCTAATGCTGAATTCTTGGAAGTTAATTCTTTAAACTCCTTCTTACACATTTCCTTGAATTTTTCCATTTCATCAGCAAATTTCTCCTTTTCTTCTTCTTTCCACCTATGAAATAACTTTAGGAATTCTTCCTCTTTTGTTTTCTGAATTTCATATTCCTGAAATTATTTTAAAACATGGTTTTAAAAGTTCCGATGTAAAGCAAATATGTACAATCTTAAATCAGTTAGCACAGCTTCACCTCAAATGTGTCAGCTAGTATTGCATATTTCAGTAAGGCTTGCAATAACACTTCATATAACGGCAGGTCTGTACACAACAATTTTTACAAACCAAAGGCAACATACATCCTTACATCCTTAAAATACAAATGCCCAAAGAATCAAGAGTTCTGTGATCTGTGAATTTGTAGCATAGATATGCAATAATATATAAAGTGTAAATATACTTTAAAAGGCCAAGTCTATTGGGGCTTTCTTGATTCCGTATCAATTTGGGTATCTCACCCTCCCAAACACAAATTCATATTTACATAAGGTAAATTCTAATCAGCCTTTGATTTCTCAATGATCTTCAGGTTTTTTTTAACCTAAATGGGGACTTGAACAAACTATATACAAACATGGCCTAACAAACATATACAGAAAGAACACTGCACCCAACAATAGCAGAATATGCAGTCTTGGTAAATGCACATAGCAGATTCAGCAGAAGAGACCATGTGTTAGGCCACAAAATGAGTCTCAATAAATTGTAAAAGATTGAAATCATGCAAACTATATTCTTCAACCACAATGGAGTAAAGTCAGAAATCAATAATAGAAGAAAAACTGAAAAATAAAAATATGTGAAGATTGAATGATATACTCTTAAACCCACTAGCGTAATTAGAAAATACTTTAAGATGAATGAAAATTAAAGCACAACACACCAAAAAGGGAAGCAGCCAATCAGTGCCCAGAAGGAAATTCAGAGCTGTAAATGCCTACATTAAAAGAAATCTCAAGAAACAAAGAAGGTCATTCTATAATGATAAAGGGGTGAATTCATCATGAAGATATAAGAATTATAAATATGTATACATCCAACATTGGAGCACCTAAATATATAAAGCAAACAGAACAAAAAGGAGAAATAAACAGCAATACAATCATAGAGGATTTTAATACCCTGCTCTCTACAATGGATAGATCATCCAGATAGAAAATCAATGAAGAAAAACAGGATTTGAACAATACGATAGATCAGCAATTTTCAACCTTTTTCATCTCATGGCACATATAAACTGATTACTAAAATTCTGTGGCACACCAAAAAATATATGTTTTTCCCGATCTGACAGAAAAAAAAGGTATAATTTTAATTCATTCACACCAGATGGCTATTGTTGTATTGGCTGTTGTCATTTTTTTTTAATTTGACAATCTAAGGGAAAAGAGGTCAGTGCTCCTGACGCAATAGCTAGATATTGCATATTGCATGTTTTAAAAATTCTTGCAGCACACTGTTTGAAAATTGCTGCTATAGATCAAATGAACCTAACAGACATATACAGAACATAAAGCAGCAGACACACATTCTTAGTGCACATGGAACATTCTCTAGGATAGATCACAAAACAAATATTAACAAATTCAAGAAGACTGAAATCATATCAAGCATCTTTTTTAATTTTTTAATTGATTTTAGGGAGAGAGAAGGGAGCGAAAGAGAGAAACATCGATTGGTTGTTCCACTTATTTATGCATTTATTGGTTGATTCTTGTATGTGCCCTGACCAGGGATTGAACCTGCAACCTTGGCATATCATGACGATGCTCTAACCAGCTTAGCTACCAAGCCAGGGCTCAAGCATCTTTTCTGACCACAGTGGTATGACACTAGAAATTAGTAACAGGAGGAAAATTGGAAAATTCACAAATATGTGAAAATTAAACAACACACTTCTGAACAACCAATAAATCAAAGAATACACAAAAAAGGAAATAATAATATCTTGAGCCTTCACCGGTTTGGTTCAGTGGACTGAAGGGTCTGGTCCACTCATCGGCCTATGGACTGAAGGGTCCCAGGTTGGATTCTGATCAAGGGCACAAGCCTGGGTGTGGGCTCAATCCCCAGTAGGGGGCACGCAGGAGGCAGCCAATCAATGATTCTCATCATAGATGTTTCTATCTTTCTCTCTCCCTTCCTCTCTGAAATCAATAAAAATATCTTTTAAAAAAATATCTTAAGAGGAAAGAAAAAGGAAACAACATACTAAAACTTACGGGATGCAACAAAAGCAGTTCTAAGAAACTTTAATAGCTAAAAACAACTATATTTAAAAAGAAATCACAAATAAACAGCCTAATATTACACCTCAAATAATTAAAAAAACAAAAACAAACTAAGCCCAAAGTTAGCAGAGGGATGGAAATAATAAAGATTAGAGCAGAAATCAATATAATAGAGAATAGGAAAACAACAGAAAAGATCAACAAAACTAAGAATTGGTTTTTTGAAAAAATAAAAATTGAGAAACCGTTAGCTAGACTAACCAAGACAGAGAGAGGACTCAAATAAAATTATAAATGACAGAGGGGACATTACAACTGATAGCACAGAATTACAACGGATAATAAGAAACTACCAGGAACAATTATATGCCAACAAATTGGACAATCTAGAAGAAATGGGTAAAATCCTTCAAACATGCATACCTACACAAGACTGAATCGTGAAGAAATAGAAAATCTGAACAGAGAAATAAGGAGTAAGGAAATTGAATCAGTAACCAAAAACCTCCCAACAGCCTAGCTGGCATGGCTCAGTGTTTGAGCGTCCACCCAGGAACCAGTGGTCAGGGCACATGCCTGGGTCGTGGGCTCAATCCCCCCAGTAGGGGGCATACAGGAGAGAGCCAATTGGTGATTCTCTCTCATCGTTGATGTTTCTGTCTCTCTCTCTCTCCTCTCCATTCCCCTCTGAACACAATAAAAATATATTTTTTAAAAAATGTAAAAAAACACCCTAAAACAAACAAACAAAAAAAACTCCCAATAAAGAAAAGCCCAGGACGAGATGCCTTCATTGGTGAATTCTACAAAACATTTAAAAGGAATTATTGCCAATCCTTCCCAACAGACCATTGTTTGGAAATTTGGTCTCATACCTCAGAGAATCTGACTGCGTGGGCATGCTGGGAAGCCTCTAACTGAGACTTGGTGAGCTGCAGCTGCTCCTTCAACATGTCGACCTCATTCTGGAGCTTATGGGTCAGTTCCTTTTTCTTATACTCTGTTGCAACAGAAACATCTTGTTAAACTATGAAACCTATGTATATGAAACCTATCTGAAAACTAGGGGGTAGAGTTCTATTGATAAGACAAAGGAAAGTGCTCTTACTTGGGAGACTTTTTCTCTGCCACATGAGCCAATTTTTGCTACTTAGCATTTATTTGCAGTCCTTTGGATTATTGGGCACTGAGTTGTTTTTAGCAGATTCTTCCAGCCACCCTGTGGAGGTTGGATTATCCCCCAGAGACAGTATGAGCGCCCATTCAGGGAGCATTAGCAGTGCTAAAACAAGAAGAGGCTGCCAAACTCGGGCCATAACCTGTTGACGGGGCAAAAGCGAGGTACTGAAAAGTTGTAAAAGGAAGCAACAAGTGAAAGGAGGAATATTTATGTACATGTACTTACATGCAGATGTACACATGACTGAATGGATATACATGTGTCTGTGAGAGTAGACATGAAAGGTATGGAAACCAAAGTAGAAAGTCAGAATCTCAAAGATGACCTGAAGAAATAATACTCATTTCAGAGTGTGAAGTGCTCTCTGAAACGAGTATGAGATAGAATAAGATACTGAAACAGAAGAGAAAGAAAGTCAGTTTCACACTGAAGAATGGTAGATTAATTAAAATATTTAATCTTTCCATTTTCTCCAATATATTGCTAAATTCTATTAGTAGACCATGGTTTATAAATGGAATGTTATACTGTTCATATTGTTTACATAAAGCTTAGCTAATTCCTAAATAAATCTATTTACCTAAAAAAGGCAGAAATAGGAACAGATTGGCCCAAAAGGGAAAGGAAAGTAGGCACTGAGCAACAAGCTAGAAGTACTCATGTCTAGATACTAAAAATATGTAAGATTATAATAAGAATTTCTGTGGATTCCGGTAGCAGTTTACAGAATGCTTTTATCTGCTTGAGGACACTTAGATGTTGCATTCCTTACTTTAGAGAACATTTAAGTACCAGGAAATCTGGTTCCTTGATAAACCACAGAACCCTTTCCCTCTCCTGCTTCTTTAGTTTCCCCTTCTACACACTGGTTAACTCACATCTGTCTCCAAACACATCGGAGTATCTCCCACATCAAACAAAACCAACATTTCCCCTCGATCCCACATTTCCCTCCAGATAATGCCTCATGTCGCTGCTCTCCTTCCCAGAAAACACTATGGACATAAATGTCTGTAATCCACATAACTATGTCCTCGCCTGACTCTCAGCTCAGCTCACTCCATTCAGAACTTTGTCCCCACCCATCCACCCAAGCTACTCTGTCAAAGTTCCCCAATAGCCATAGTGATAACAACAATCAAATCTCAGCCTTCATCTTACTCTGTGTCTCAGGAACATGGGCTACAACTGACTAGTGTCTCCTTTTTGAAGCACTTATTTCCCTCGGTTTCCATGATCACACACTCCACGAGTTTCTCTCCTGTCTCCATAACTGCTATTTCTAACTCTCCTCAGTTGTTCCTCCTGAGCTCCCAAAATGCAAACTCGGGCCACAACCTGTTGACAGGGCTATCAACTATTGGGAGAGCAAGGGAGCTGGCCCTTAGCTATCCTCTCTTCTCTGTCTAGGTGACTTCACCCAACCGAGCTCTGCTAACAACTCTCATGTTTCTATCCCCAGCCTGGGCCTCCACCTTGACCTCCAGACCTCCAGCATCTTCTCTTGTACGGCAATCGTATGTGTGACTAAAGTTTATCCATGGCCAACATAGACTCTCCATTCTCCTGCCTCCCTCAACCTGCCGCCTGCCCCTAGGTTTCCCCTCTTGGAAAACATCATTGCCATTCACTCAAACATACAGACAAAAACCCAGGATCGGCTTTGCTTCATCTCTGTGGGCTGTACCTCAAATATACCCTCTCTATCTTCACTTCTTCCATCTTCCCTGGTACCATTGTGATCCAGTTGCCATCTTCTCTCACCTTGGCTACTCTTGCAGCCTCCTCACTTTTCTACCTGCTTCCACCATTGCCCCTACAGTTTATGCTCCACCAGCAGCTAGAGGGGTCATTCTCAGGTACAAATTAGATTGTGTCTCCCCCATACTTAAAATCCTCCCAATGAAAGAAGATGTAGTGTCGAGGACTGAGAAAGGTATGCCTGCTCAGGGCATTCAAGGGACTTGGCCTCTTCCTCTCAACGTCACCACATATCACTGCCTTGCTTACTCTACTCTACCAACCTTCTGTCTGGTCCTCAAACACACTGTCCTACCTCCCCCTCATATCTCTCACCTTCAGAGTTCCCCTGGCCTAGAACATTCATTTCTCAGATTCTCCCCAGACTGGGACCTTCTCATCATTGTAGTTTCTGATCAAATATTACCTCCGCAGTGAAGCCTTTGCTGATTACCCAAGAGTCATTCTCCATCCCATCCTCATGACTTATTTTCTTCATTGCACTTGCCACCATTTTAAAAGAATCGTTCATTCGTTTAAGCGTGTTTCCTCTGTCCCTCCCATTAGAATGCAGGAGTCAGTCTGTTTCACTTGGGGCTGTATGCCCACCCTTAGTACAGTGCCTGGCACATAGTAGGGGCTCAATATTTACTTCATGAATGGACAAGGACAGCGATTCTTTCTTTTAAAAGGATTGAGAAATGCACTGGAAAAAGAAAAAAATTACCAGAAAGAAAACAGCTCATTAAAGTTGAGCTCATTACTTACCAAGGTGAGAATCTTCAGGGTGACGGCGCTGAATATGACTTTGTAGAAAGGCTTGGTTCATAAAGGCCTTGTCACAAAAATGGCACTGAAAAGGAGACAGTAACAAATCAAAGTGGCCTTACCGGGTGTCCTTCACCTAATGTCTATTAAAATCCAGGCACCTGGAGCACTACCTCTTGGGGGCTTTCCCCCAAAAGATCTCATCCTGGCAAGGGATACTGAAAGTATGACTAAAAAGACAAATATAAAACAAGGGCATCTGGAAACTATCACTGAACAGTTAAAGTAGCCCATCATGGTGCTTTCTGGAACCCCTAGCACTGCTCCCGTTAGACTTGTGGTGCCTAGCCTATCACCACCACCTTGTGGGGACCCTCCAGCAATGCTAGTCTTTGTTCGTCTCTCAGGTGGACCAACCTCAGAGCCTTTGCATGGGCTGGTTCCCTACCTGAACCTTTCCTCGATCTTCCCCTGACTGACCCCTACTTGACATTCAGGATGTCGTTTATGAAGCATTTTCCACACTGGGGATGAGTGGCACGTCCTCAACAAGATCTTCGAGGATGGTCCTTCTGTCAGTCACTGTCCCATCTCATTGTCTTATTTTCATCATTGGGCATCTCACTAGTTAACATTTTCACATTTATTCACTTGTTTATTGTCTCCTGCCTAATCCCTCTGGGTTCCTAAGAGCACTGACTCTTGTCTGTATTATTCACAGCTTTGTCCCCGGAGCCCAGCATTAATAAATAATTAAACAAATGCTGTAGAAATATTTGGCCTCCTAAAATGAATTTACTGGGGGAAAATCAATTCTACCAGATCTCTATTTTCCACTTAAAGACTGGTTCAAAATTTAAGCAAAAATTCAACTTGTTTTATTTATACCCTCACCCCTGGATTACTTTGAAATAAATCCTGGATATTACATATTTCATTTGTCAATATTTCAGAATTTATCTCTAAAAGGACTTCCTTGTTTTGTTTTGGTTTTTGGGTGGGTTGTTTTTGTTGTTGCTGTTAATCCTCACCTGAGGATATTTTTTCCATTGCTTTTCAGAGAGCGTGGAAGGGAGGGAGGGGAAGAGAGAGAGAGAGAGAAACATTGATGTGAGAGAGACACATCGACTGGTTGCCTCCTGCATTCCCCCTCCCCCCCCACCTTCCCCCCCTACAAACCGGTACATACACACTGGGGCAGGGAGAGAACCTGCGACCCAGGTATGTGCCCTTGACTGGGAATCAAACCTGTGACCCTTTGGTACCCAGGCCTACCCTTAAACCACTTAGCCACACTGGTCATGGCATAAAAGGACTTTCTTTTAATACAATCATAATATCATTATTCTACCTTTTAAAACATGAATATTAATTCCTTTATATTCAACAAATATCCAACCATTTGTTTATTTTCCTCAATATTTCACACATTGTCTTAGAAAAGATTTTTAGTTTGTTTTAAATCAGGACCCAAATAAAGCTATATTTTGCAATTGATTGTTACATCCCTTAATTCTCTTTTAGTCTATAGATTGCTGCTCCGTCTCTTTTTTCCTTGCAATTCTTCTGCTGAAGAAACTGAACATTTGTCCTGCAGATTTTCTCAGTTTGGATTCCGCTGTTTCATCTCCATTGTGCTATTTACATGTTCTTCTATTTCTGTACTGCCTTACTCTTAGTATGGCTGCATCACAACGTCAGGTTCTAGTGTTCCAGAAAACTAGTGTTATGGCATATTTCTCAGCATTGCATTTCAGAGAATCTTCAAAGAATCTTTTCAGCCTTTTCTGCTTATGATGAATGTTCTAGTTGCCTCACAGTATTTTAGAGACTTCCCACATTGACTCAGGTGTAAGTGTGAACTCTGGGGCTA